TCCGGCGAGCGGTCGACTTTCTAACACGGGGTCGGTGTACGCGGCGGTGTGTCGCAATAATTTCTCCGATGCCGCGAACGAAGAAAGCGCGACCTCGTCGCTATTTTGCAATCGCACGCTCCGCGGGAAAGAGCAGTAGAAAGCGCGGGCGGACCGAGCGACGGATGCATTTGCCCCACCGCGCCAGGCGCGCCTCCCACAAACGCAGCAGTTCGTGTCGGACGAGTACTTGGAATTGGGCAAACGGGCGCGGGTTGCGCAAGGCCCGATAAACGCGCGGGCCCTTGTCACCGCTGCGCTGGTGAAACACTTCCGTTCATTGACTCTTTCCCGATATAATGTGACGTATGTTTCGAAATACTTTCGCCTTACGCAAGGCACGTGTTTATGCGTCGAGGCCTAGCAAAAAACGTTCGCTCGGACTTGTATCCTTGATCTTTCCGGGTGAGTTGGAGGCAGTGCTATACGCTCCACATGTCGCAAGCTCGTAAGACTCGGCATGTAACTAGGAATTCCTCTGTTGGGATGCAAGACGAAGTACCGGCGGGTAAGCGTTGCGCGCGTCGGGTTGCGTGAGCACTTTCATAACGCGTTGTTACGTTTCTAGTCGACTTCTGTAACGGTTGAGAAATGCAGCAGTAAAAAGCTGTCGGTCCCATATCGCGGATGAGTAACCATCATTACACAGCGCGGTTGGAAAAACGCAACACGCCGCTCGTGTGATCGCGCCTTACAATAACTTTCACGTAACAGCTCCGATACTTCACATGTCGTCGTAACTCTATCAACATTTCAGCTGTTACAGAACAAAGGTACATGTAACAAAGACCTTGTTATACAATAATTTACAGTTAATTTTCTAAGCAAATTATTACGGCATACAGAACGCTTTACACTAATAGTGTATCCCTAGGAATAGCATAACTGGTTATTTTTTAATCAAATACATGAAACCCGTACATATATAAGTGAACATAGCATAGGTGTTCGCGTCACCTGGAGGCAGGTGAAACTGAGAGCAGCGTCGTGTGGCAGCTGCCTGACAGATGCGGTCTGCGGTCTCAAAGCAACTCGACATCCGCGCGCTCGGGACACGATTATTCCCGCGCAATCGCTTCCTCCTCATTATTGGAAGTCGGAAGTGCGAAACGCTCGCCTCCGTACCTCTGTATTTCTGTATGTAAGTAAATCCGAAGGAATTATTTTGTAGAAACGTATAGCATTGAGTTGAGCACATCTGTATCCTGCGGTGCCGTGCGACTTTACGAAATCTTACTAATATTACAAATGCGAAAGTATAGATGGATGAATGGATGTATGCTAGAGTTTGTTGCGGGCGAAAGCTGGTCAATTATATTTTTAAATAAAACAAATGAAGGCTGCATTTTCTATTTTGCTACTATACATCGAACAACATCTTGTCAAAAATTTCCGAATGGCTGAAGATAGTTCGTGCAGTAGCTTTAATGGATTTCCACTATTGCTGACGTACTGCTCAACAATTCCGCCGGTTGGTAATGGCATAAAAATGTATTATTAATCATAAAGAATTGCAAGTGAGGACGCAAGAGTTTGCGATACGGCGCACGTTACCAACTGTACAGCAACACGGATTGCAAACATTCGCTTAACGGTATTGGATCTTGCGCGACAACTATATATTGAAATATATATAGTATTGAATTTGTTAGTGAATTTATTTTGTTCCTAACACAAAACAACTTTAATCAATATCAACAATACACAGACGTTTGCGATTAAAAGATCGATTCATCAATCGATCGACATGATCGATTTGAATTACACATTTTAATTACTTTATATAAAGATAGAGAAATTATTCAAAGATGAAATGTCGATGTCTATTTTAAATACGGCAGTGACATCGAGCCTCTAAAGTTTTGAAAGCATTACTAAGGATTTGCAAAACACCACAACATATCAAATACACGCTTAGTTAATTTCAAAATACAGTTTGCGTAACTCCGAAACAATTGTAACGAGTGGGCGATGCGGACACACTGAACTATTACACATCTCGTACTGATTGACAGATTTTTTAGTAAATATATATAACTAGATTTCATCTGAAACTCCGTCCGCGTGGATTAAAAAAAAAAAAAACAAAATTATTTATCCTATTCTTCCAGACTTTGTTCTACATTTATACCAAATTTCATCAAAATCCGTTTAGTTGTTTAGGCTGTAAACTCTAACAAACATGCAGGTTTGTCTTTATTGCTTACCTTGGATCAACATAAAGTATTTTGTCTTCGTGTTAACCTGATAATGGTGTTGATATTTTTGTTCTAAATTTTGAAACTAATTCCTAGGAATTAGTGTCAAAAATTTAGAAGAATACTAAGAGTGTGCGCACACCTTCGACGAAGCTATCATACGACTGTTTAGTCGCGTATTAATTCGTATGAGGTTATATGGAGGTGCGTTCTCTACACGATTTTTAGTTGTACTAAACAATTGAATGGGCTGCGAAACAATCGACAATCGCACAACAGTTGTGGGATAGTTTAGTCAAAGGTTTGCCCGCTCTTAAACTATTATTCACTATTAGCAATATGTGCACAGATGCAAAATGTTACCTAAAGTAACGGAACGGATGACGCAGGACTGTTTCGAAAACGCGAAATAAGCAATGTTGCGACTCCGTTGCGAAATGTGTTTTAGCTCGTGCCTGCGGAACGCGTGGGGCGACAAATAGGTTTAATCTGTGATTTGCAGACATCGTTACTTAATTAACGCATTGTTATACGATAACGGTTTTTATTTACTGATTTACTTCGACTGATATTCTACGATATTGTAGCCGTTTTCACTAAAATGTTGACAGTTAATTTGTTAATATTATTAATAGTAGTTATGTTGCAAATAATAAATCAGTCGTATTTAGTATTTGTAAACGGTTACAGTTATCACATTAAAATGTAATTATTTATAATTAAAATTCAATTGAAAACTAGGCGGTAAAATATGGAAACGATTGATATTCTATTTGTTAATTTTTATCGCGGTTTTATCAACTTTTTCACTCTTATCTTAAATAAAACTTAAAAAATGTCACCTCATACTTGTTTACTTACAGATAAATATGTAAATGTTGGAAAGATAAACAAATAAGAAATGTTTGCTTGTAAAAAAAGTTATTTTGTCTTCAAATATAAATTCGGAAGCCCGAACTATTGACCATGACATTATTAATAGCAAATATTAATTTATTACATGTTAAAGAAAACTTTGTATATATTAATAATGAGGCTAGTATATTATATATATCGGACATGGAACTTTCTTTTATGTTAGATTTCGTATCCGGCTCTCATTAGGTCGCTTTTGTAAAACAAATATTGAACGTTTCTCGACAAATCGTTTCCGAACGTGCGAACGAGCTGTCACTTTGACATGATAAACATTTGTTGACGTTTGAATTTTTAAAGACATTTAATTATGTTTTCGCATTTTTATAAATTCAGTTATTATTTCTTTATTATAATTATTGTTGTGAGATGTGTTAGTAACGCACATTCAGTATCTATTTATAAGTAAACAGGTAACAGACTGGTCTTATTATGTAGTGCAGTTGTATGTAAGTCTTACCACCTGCTGTACTGGATCTCGCCTATTATAGTACTGTTTATTTTCGCACCATTTGTGATGTCTCGTGGCGATAATTAGCAATTTTATAATTACGCTTTGTTAGAGACAAAGAATAATTTCGTTGAACAGACGATGTAACCTTTTTGTGACAATTTTTAATTGTTTTATTGGTTATCTGACTTCGTTAATAATATTTATCAGAGTTTATTATCAATTGTGTACATTATCATCGATTGTAATTAATAATATCAGCTTATTGTATGATTCATTGATTTTTTTAAAATAAATTCGCGAACTTTTTACATCTACTGAGTTTATAAGTTATAATTGAATTCAATAAGCCCTTTGTGCAGCAAGTTGTTAAGTGACTGAGAGTGCAGCCGCGATCTGTATCTCGGAGTGGAGCGGGCCAATGGCTGTAATAGCGCCGACCCCAATGACGTCGCGCTATCGCTACGGCGATAACGCATGGAGACCCCTTTACTATTACTCAAATTGCATATTGACGTCATTCAATGCACGCACTACATCGACGTCTAAGCACAGTTAGCGTAGTTCTCTTACATGTTAAAACTGCAATGTACACTTAACGGCTAAATTACGCAACATTAGCGTTTCGCATAGAAATCTACGACGGCAAAACAAGCGAGTACTACGTACGCGTAATCGCCGCGTATACGATGAAAGTACAGGCTTTCGTAAAGTTGTTTATATCGTTCGCAACAATTTCACGAAGTTTGTAAATAGACCTTATCGTTGCAAATTAAATAAAAAATAACAAAATAAATACTATCGAGAGTCGAGAACGAGTTTCTACCGTTACCTTCCTCATGAAAATACGAGTAAACATCCAAGTGAATGCGACCCGTTCCGAAACGAGTTCCCGTATTCACGAAACATCGCGACGACACCACAACAAACGTATAATCGATCATCGATTCGATGGAGCGTATCGGTTCCACGAATTGTTTACGCGTCCACAGCGACCCGCTAATCGGAGGCGACACGAATATCTTCTAGTTCAAAACACGAAAGTTCATAGGCCTTATATATGTACGTTTTGGAATTTAAATGCTCCTTACGCTTGTGTGAATCGAGAACGTGTATCGAATATGATTCGATCGCGTCGATAAACAAACAGAGGCCGGGCTGCGGACGATGCCCTTGCGATTCCACGTCTCCGATGTCTGAAGGCGCGCTGGGCAGCCGGACCGCGGCCGCTCACGGCACTGCACGACGTATGTGGCACGACGAGACAGCGGTACTTTCTCATCGGGTACCGTTCGCCCGGCGAAATGATACTAGGCCGATGAAAGTTCCGATAGCCCGCCCGTCGATTCAATACCCGAGAAATGACCGCGCTCGCCACAATTGCGCACTTAACATTTTTTACCATGCCACCGAACGGTCGAGATGAGATCATAAAAGGATCAACGCTCTACGCGAATGCCGAGGCGATGATCGACTCGTTTAGGGTCCGCGAACTCGGTCGTTCACCTCCGCCACCGCTTTTTACTATCTCAACGCAATGATGTAACTCAGAAAACGCGGAAATCGTAATTTCTAACGCGAGCGGTTATGTCACGGCCCCGCGCCGAGATGCACGCCGCGAGAGGTCGCCGAACTTGCGAAACTACACCTGCCACGGTCGAGGGGAGCGGCACGGTGCCGGCCGGTGCAACGAAGAAAGCGCGGAAATGTAAGAGCGAAAATTACAGCATTACGTGATGCCAGTTCTAAGACAAAAAAAGTCAACTTATTTTCTAGGTTTACATGACGGTACATTCCAAAACCCGCGTCGACGGTCGGCGATGGTCGCTTGCACAATCCACGACGGAAGAGAGTGCGGGCGAAACGGCATACCGTGGTGATGCAATAAAGAAAGTGCGGAACTGAAGTAGGTTTTCCAGCGCGGTGAACGTACTCGGCCATTAGCCGTGTATCATTTGCGTCGGCAAAGGCTCTAAAGTCGCGCGGCCGACGACCCCGCGGAGGAGCCGCGGCATTCGCATTCGACTCTATGATAAAATACGGTCTGCCAAGAAAATTACGATGCGGAATCACGACGCGCAGTCGACGGCGCGGCGACGATCGCGATCAGACATAATATGACACTCGGTGCTTGAGGAAAGTGCGCGAGGACGTGCACGAAGGTAACGTGACCTTTAAATAGGCGAAAAAAGTTTAATTTAAAGGCGATATGTCAAGTTCAGCATGTGCGAGGCCGGTGCGCAGGCGCGGCGCGGCGCGGGACGGGGCGGGGGCGCGTTGACAATGAATGGCAAAGCACCGTTGTACTTGACCCAGTATTCGGGCCGTCACGGGCCGCCGGCGCCTGCGCAGCGCTCTAACGAATGCAGCCACTTACCGTACAAGTCGACATCATCAACACAATTAATAATCGCACGCACATAGACAAAAAAATTATTACAAAATTTCAGTGTCCGAAATAAATTTAAAATTAAAGAACTATAAATTATGTGAGATTTTTTCACATGAAAATCGTGCATAGCGTTTACAACAAAGAGCGCTTATGACACCACTGACATTGGTATACTAGATCACTAGGCCACGGCAAAAAAAATATATAAATAATTTGGCAGCCGCGTCGGCTCGGTTTACGTCAATCAAGTAGATATTCAAATCGTCTCGCGTCAGACATGTGCACCTTGATGATGTCATTGTTTTGATACGAGATAGTTTTAGAGTTAAATCACACAATATTTGTGGCAAACATTATATCGTAATTATATCGTATAATTACAATTATCGAATTGTTTACGTGTATTTCATAAAAGTATTCTTAAACTTGTACTTGACATATGCAAGCATCTGTCATTGCGCAAGGTCGCTAGTTCACCTGTCTAGTGTCGGTTGAGTCCGTTAAACAACAAGACTATACTTTTTTAATCGCATATTTTCCGTATCAATAAAAAAGGCTAGTCAAAAAATAAAGTTGCACTATGGCTTTAATATTCTAAGCCGACGAAATAAGAAATCAAGCGCTACAGCGCTCGCGTCGGGCCAACGAGGTGTCGGGGCAGCGCGGCAGCGGAGGCGAGCGCACTCGTAATAATCCAAGTGGGTTAAGGTTCCATCAAGGATTTGTTGCGGCAAAACACCGCTCCAAAACGCCGAGCGTTCGTTACTATGAGCTAACTGCACGCCGGTTCCGCTGCATTTGTACATTACAACCTTTTGTAATTTTATTATTATTTTTTTTTATATTTTATTTTACAACATAGATCGTTAAAGGCGACTTACAGTCAGTGAGTTTTCGAATGAAGAATGGATTTTTTTTTAATCCTCGTTCAAACTACGAATTCATTTGTTTCTTTATAATGGCAATGTCTCATTCACCTGTCGAAGACGGTTACGAGAAGTTCAAAAGAGATGTCCTTTGTTTAATTAGCGACAGACACAAACAAAAGTAAGTCGATCGTTAGGCGCGTCCCTTTGTCCCGACACCTAAGCCGAGGACAATGGAAACGTCCTTTGAGAGGCTTTTGAATTTCGCGAGCGCTCACAGGCGAGCCGAGCGGAGCGCAAAACAAACAGGTTAATAAGTTTCAAAACGATCCAGATGTATTACAAAAGCGGTAGCACACAACTGTTTGGCAACTGCACGGCCGATTGTTTCGCAACTCGCATCGCAGCGTCCGGACCACTCGATTAATTGTTTCTATCGTTCAATATCGACTATTCGATTCTTTTGTTTAAAACACAAGCGCTTTGTTCCTCCGAGTGGTTATTAAAAAATTAAAGTATTTTTAAATTGTTATTCACAGCTCTCGTATTCTGTTGTTGCCATGAAGTACCGCGTTCTTTGTAAATATTATTGCAATGTTATTGTAATTAATAGAGACGCGAATGTTTTGAATAATTTAATATTTGGCAACATTTGACCTTAAACGTATTATGTAATTAATACTATTTTAATTGAGTTCTAACGACTCGCTTACAATGAAATAGGTATGCTAAAGTGCAGTTTGAAATGTCCCAATACGCGTTAACAAAACCTGATATTGTGAATACGAGACGATATATCCAATTTCGGTTAGCGCATGTAACCTTTGAGGGTTACTAATATTGGTTACTGATGCAATTGTCTTGTGCAATGGACTTTTAAATAAATATGCCTATTAACCTTCGATCGCGTACGGCCTTTATTTCTACTGAATATATTTCAGTTTACAAAATAGAATGAACGTTACACGTTACTATAAATATCGTTAATAATAGGTAGATGTGTGCTCAGACGGCGGAGGCGGCAGATGTTCGCGTAACTATTATACCTCGGACAAAGGCAGGTAAAGGACCAAGTCGAGCCATGTGCTGCGTGTCACTTTTTCACATGTTTAATGTGGATTGAAAAAAACTAATCTGACCGGACAGATGCTAGAGCACATGCGCACACAAAAACACAGACATCTAACAGATGGAAAATCATATAACCAAATCGATTACCCGCGCAATCGACGGAACGTTTTGGATACGCGTTGCGTAACTACATCAGAATAATTACAATGGTTTCCCTTTGTTACAAAAGAGAGAAACGAATCGAATCCCAGTTATCAAAATTAATAACGGCAAAACCAATTTACTCTGATCGCGTAATATCCTGCCCGGAGCATTTATTGTGCTCGTCAGTTTTCAATTTTCCTCGCGATGAGGGGAAAATAATAAATGATCGATTGGATTTTACTTTGACGTTACACAATTAAAAAGTAACTTTTGTCCTTTGTCATACGTTGTACATATATTTTGACGTAGAATCATTTAACAGCACTTTCCTAAGTTGTTGTACAATATTAAAAGCTCGATCGATGAATAAAAAAAACAGCAAATATTGACCTCGCTGAATATGTCGAAAGCCAAACTCTGTGACTGGTTATAAGTGCATTTGAATAAACATTCGCTTCGACAGTAACGAAACTTTGTTGACCTTACGCT